TATATATATAATTTTTCTGAATTATTATGCTAAATATAATTACATCATATTTCTTATTTCACGAGTCTTTGTAATATTTGTATTTAGTTCATAATGTTAGAACCATGCTACTTATCACCAAAGCTGGATAGCTTAGACAAGGATGGGCGTTAAGTGTATGAAGTAAACATATTTAGTATTCAGCTCTAGATTTTTAGAGTGCTTTTTAAGTCTGAAAACTCATTTTTCCTCTCTGTTTCCTTCTGAGTCCTGCTAAAAGCGAAACACCAAAACTTTGTCAAATAATGAGTATCATACTTATCGACATGCTGAAAGGGGTTCCTTGTCTTCCGAAACGTACAAATTGATGATAGCCTATATGGTTGTTTGTTTTATCACAAGTCGTAATAAGCTGAGGAATAATCTGTCAGACAAATTTTACGCTGAAATTTCTGAAGTTTGAAAAGAGAAACCATGTCAGTTTCTGTTTTCAAACTCACTAATGTAATGTGGATTTATAGAGCATTTGTTGTGCTTCATAGAAATGACAGCTCCAAACAAATGTGATGATGTATTTAGAAACGAATCGATAGCATTTACTCAACTTGTGCAAGCGCAATGTTTCTTTTACTTTTTTAGCACATAAAATTTCACGATTACTTTTGTTGCTGAGAGAGAAATGAAGACGGTTGTTGTTTTCAAGAGAATTTGAGAAGTTGAAGTAGGAGGTTTCTTGGTAAGTGTCATTCGTGCACTGAACTGCAAACATAGCTCCTTGTCATTAAAACATCGCATTATAGACAGTTTTTGCTGATAATTTTTGACTAAAAAAAATGCAGCCGTAATTTGATGTTCATTGAGGATAGTGATAGTGATAGTGATAGTGATAAAGATTATGGAATTTTTCAACACTAAAATATCCATTATTCATATTTGCTTTAATTGAACATGAGGTGAGCATGCCTTGGAAATATTTTTTTTTAAACTTTGATCATTATAGACTAATTCTTTAGAAGTACTTGAGCTGTTGCCAGATTATGTTTTTTAAGTTAAAGTAATCCAGACTAATTAATCAAAAATTTGATAACTTTAGTTCTGTGTTGATTATTTACTGCATAAATGTCAAAAAGTACATTCATACTTCAACAGTTTACACTGACTCTGTTGAAGAAATTAACTCTGCTAAGCACATTCTGGATTTACAAGTGTTTTCTAAGCTTTGGGAGGTTAAACTAACTTCATACATCGATTTCTAATGTTATCTTTGAACTGCTTTATTTGAAAATAATGGAGTTGTGTGCATATTACGAAATCCACTTACAAACTGCAGAAATTTTCTGATTGAAGTTTCATAAATTATTGCACAGGAAATTTAGAAATGGTAAGCAGATCAAAGAAAAACTAATAATTAAACGTGAGATCAACGCCTTCCAGCATACCCCAAATACCCCAAATGTGGGTTACATTTACTGTATTTCACTAATTCTTATTTATCAGCCAATCAGAATATTTTTTTATTTTATATATTTTTTTTTGTGCATATTTTCCACTTCATATATAAGAGTCAGGAGTTTTAAATACTGCTGAGGTTGTAATGTTAAAAGTAGTGGAATGTTAAATTAGTAATAACATCCTTTATCGACTATTGCTGCATTCCATCTATCACAATTTCTTTACAGTTTTATAGCATATAAAAAAGTGGTTCAGAAACAGTTACTCTTAAATAACTTTAACATGCGGTAAAATATGATTAATTGGATGGATCAGAAAAATATTTGAGAACTGAAGTCAAATGTTGATCTAGCATGAAGAATCCCAAACGTTCGTCTTGTTTACGCGCTTCTGTTTGCTTAATCTTTTTGCTGTTTGTACGGCATGGCACTTGTCACTACAATTGCTGAAGGATATTACCAAAAAAACTCTTAAAAAACTACTTAAGGGTTACTTGCTGAATGTGCTTTAGCAGAAACGCTATTGGCATAATTATTATATTAGATATGATGATTTTCAGGATAATTGCTGATCAAACAAATGATTTACTAAGTTATTTCTCTGAACTGCTGATTTGCAGAAGCCATCACATTTTATCTAGATACATGAATGATGACAGAAAGTAGGGATTGAAGGATTTCAAGAGAGCAGAGAGACATGCATACAGTCGACATTTACTATCACTGCAGCTAAGAAATAAAAAAGTAGTGGTTATTTCGAATGGAAAGTAACACGTGAAGCGTCCAATTTTTCTTTGCTAGCAATCTTATTTTCTAGTAACTCTCACTTCTACTGTTACAATTGTCATAGCAATAACATTTTGCGATGGATCGCAGTGATCATCTCAATCATGCTGGTACTGTTTGTGTTTTTACGTTAAACGATGAGTTTTGTTTCTCCGAAAAATATCAGTAAGATAAAGTTACCAACAAGTGTTCGCAACACGTCTCATTTTCCAGTACTAATATTAGAACACTTTCAAAGCTCACAAAAAAACATACACATAGAGAGAAAATTTATTTCAAAGTACAAGTTGAATTAAAAAAGTATTTGTGAGTTTGTAATTATTTTTATTTACAGCTGACAACATAATCAAGAAAGATGGCTCATTAGAATATTTACTTCATACATATTTCAGCCCGAACAAATTCTGTAGGCTTTAGCAGTCAGTATCAGTTTCCACAAGACCAAGCTTGTATAGAAGATGACAACCTTTCTGGAGCAACAGCTGGTGGAGCTTCAATCGGGTCACTTATACGTGGTACGAAAGGACATTTATCCAGTATACTTGACAGTGTCACACAGGTTTTTTTTTCCCAAAAATTTATTGTGTAAGCATCATTCATTCACCACAAGATACTTTTTTGGAATGACTTGGAATTCTAATCTCATGCTCAGCTAGTTGTGTGAGGTCGCAAAAAATGAATGTCTAGTATAGTCTACCAAACTATTTGATTTTGTGAGAGTTTTTTACGGAATTATTATACAGCAATGTTGTCTGATCAGTTGCGATGAATACCCTATCCATACAGAATCACAAACTGCTTTCTTGATTGCATGGAAAAATTACTTGAATCTCATATAAATTTCCAAAATTTACATACCTAAACTACAACAGATTTCTAAATTTACTATTTCTACTATTTTTTCAAAGTTATAATCTATCCAGGAGTAGGATATACTCGTTCTATTTTTTGTCTGTAAAGAATGAAAATAAGAAGGCAAAATTGAGAATTTTTACAGATTTCAGAAAAAATTTTTTAGAATAATACTCATGTGCGCAAAAAAAAGGGTAAAGTGCGCGAAAAAAATCAAAAGAAAGGGTAAAGTGCGCGAAAAAAATCAAAAGAAACGGGTAGAGTGCGCGAAAAAAATCAAAAGAAACGGGTAAAGTGCGCGAAAATTTTTTCTAATTTCTTTTGAGACGCTTTCAGTTTCTGAAGTGCGGAGTTTTTTCCAAGTGCCGTGCGTGATAAATCATTCTGACTGACATCTGCACACATCTATATGAAAGGAAGCCGTACAGGCATAAATACTTGTCAACATTAACGAACACTTTACAAGCCGATATGATTAGTGGACAGACTGACATTAGACAGGCGGTGCGGTAAACATGGGAATGGATGGAGTGCGGGGAAATGTGTTGCATCGATTTTAGAAATGATGCAAAGCGGGACAGCAGTAGTGTGAGGTCGTTAGTAATTACGACTGATATGATATGAAAAATTGATAGCAGAAAGGGATGTGGGAGAAGAAGCCACGAATGAGAACAAAACTAAAGTGACTGAGCAGCTGTAAAGAAGTAATTATTGTTTGAACCGATATTTTTAGTGCATTTAGAAGTTTAACTTTGGTCAGGCAATTTTCGTAACATGCTGATAGAAGGAAGGAAGGAAGGAAGGAAGGGGAGAGAGAAATGAGTAGAACGCAGGTGCGAGTATGAAAAAGTGGAAGAAAAGAGAAGAGAAAGAGGCAAAAATTGACATTGATGTGGACGATGACGAACGAAACAGAAACAGAAGATAGTAGTAGTGAAAAGGAAAATTAGACAGATCTAGGCGCACCGGCGGTGAATGCGGCGTAGTAAGGTGCTTTCAGGAGTTAGTTCTTCCGGCGTACTTGCATTTTGTTGATATTTCTTCTAACTTCTTTTCACTACAATACTTTTTCCTATTTGCCATACTTTTGTGAAGGCTATTTCGATTGTTTTTCTCGTGATTATTAGGGTTTCGCAAGAAATCTGGTTTCTGAATGACCCTCGAAAATGCATAAATTTTTGGTCACTGGGCCTGGTTTGCTCATGACAAGGACTGCGCTGTTGTCATTAACAGCTAGCTAGCAGACTACTGCTTTACTTCCATTGACGCATGTCACATTTACAATTGCTTGCTAAGAAGTGTACTGACTTTACTATCTATATAAGATGATGATGAGTGAATGGGATGGATTTCCAACGTTGCGTCTTTGTGATCAAAACCAGTATACTTTTGCAGTCTCAGGGCTTACTTAAGCTGTTAAAGGCAGTAGGGTTCACTAATTCTTCCTACTTCAAACTCTCACTACGCAATTATTTCATCATCCTTTTTATAGTATTATACTTCATTCATTTATGTTTTATTTACTTAAATCTTGGTTTACGCATCAAACGCATTTTCTGCTTACAGACGTACTTATCTAATAATCTTATACTTAGTTGTCAATGCATACACTCGTTTTGTATCATTTGCCTGGAATTTTCCCATTCAAGTTCCGTTTTTCATTGCGTGCTATAGAGTAAACTTAGTGTTGAACAATGATGATCTTAAGTTTGCAAATTCAGTTCCATTTTTGCATGATAATTTCAATTAAATTGAATTTATTATCATGTATAATATTCAGAAAAGTGAACAGCTGCTCTATTAGTTAAAAATTAGTAAGATTTTACGTAATATTTATTCTATAATTGTTGTTAGCACCTAAACTGATCATTGATCCTAATTTGATTTTGGTTGAACATCATTAGGAAGTATTTAATACCATTACTTGTTTTTTACGTTCGCACCATTACCTAATTTTTGATTGGTATTTGGAAGAAAGTGATTGCACAACATTTGTATTTGAAGTGTGGTTATGAAATCATGATAATTTTTACCTCTACAGTGGTTCTCTAATGAAAAATGTTTTGAATGCAATTGAGTAAATTGAATGCATTTATAAAGGCGAGCTTAGAGAGTAATAATAATTTGAAAGTGGAATAAATCATTTGCAGATGCGCAATTCAAAATGCATATATTAGCATCTTTCTTGGTGTATCTGTACTTGGGAATATGCATTGATATAGACCATCACTTGTTTTCCTTACTGATTTTATACTAAAGCTGGAACATATAAAATTTTTTGATATTATATAATCCGTCGTGAATAGATTCAGCTATTGTGATCGCTGTATAGTTTATTGGTTACTTATTTACTTAATTATGATAACGATAACAGATGATGAAAATATATGTCAGTGGTACATACCAGTGATTGTAACTATTTAATATGCATTAATATCCTAAGCCTAACATCGCATGTTTTATTTGCTTATAGTCAAATCCCATATAATAAACGATGAAGATCATTTCGTTCAAAAATTGCTCATTGTGAGACACTAATAATCATTCAATCCATGAATACGTCCAATTTCTGAGGTGGATGATTGTGATAAAGTAATGTGCGTGACAGCGTTAAATGAGATGCCAAATTCTAGTTAGAACAGTCGGTTAATGATTAATAATCATGGAAGAGTTTACTGAATCAAATCTCAATCCTTGCAAAAAAAAGATAAAAGAAGGTCTTAGATCAATGTGATAATGTATGCAGGCAAAGTCATTTATTGCTTTGCATTTCTCTTGTTGTGTGATTTATATCAGAATAGATAAATTTTACTCATTATCAGTGTTAAAAAAATGAGTGGTTTTGGAACAGATATGTTTACTCGTATAAACAAATGTAGAAATGCTTCTTCAGTCGTGAATATCGTGTATGAAGCATCACAGGAAATTGTAAGTGTGCAGAAATAAGTTCCTCTTTACCACCTATACTTGGCACGCTACACACGAAACCAAAAGTTTGTCTTTATTTTGTGACGTTTGCAACGAAAACTTAACAAATTTATCACTTTACTGCATGGTGCTGGAACCTTTTATCGGCGCTCTCTATTTCTCTCTGTCGAAACTTTTTTTCTACTCCTCGTTCTTTCTGTGTAACCGAAAAGTTTGCCATTTTCCATGCTTTTCATTGCCTCCTCTCCTCCTTTTCATTTATTGTATAGACCTTTTTGTGACGAGCAACCCCAACTGCAGGATTAGATTTTTCTAGAGCAAAATATATGGTGTAAATCATGAGATTTGCAGTCATTTTTTACTCTTCTAAGTACTAGGGTTTCCTTAAAAAATAGTAATTAGCGCTTCTTTTCATAATCATTTGTGCATATTCATATAAATAGTTCATTATGAAATGATTTAATTCGTGGTTGATTAGGTGATAACGTTGCGCTTAATTTTTATCGTAGTGTGTCATACTGAAAGTGAGTTAAGACTAGCTTAGAACATAAGACTGAAGTGAAGAGAGCAGATATAAGCTGGGTTAAAAATCTTGTCTCTTGCAATACACAAATCCCTGATTCTTGCCTCTCTCTCAGCCATTCAATCTGATACTCGGCTTGTCATCTCAGTACTTAAGAAAAACTAAGCTAATTTTTGATTGCATTCGTGTTTTGGATGGTTATAAAATATAATGATAAAATGGTTATAAAATAGAATAGGACTGGTCGAAAATGAACACATTCAGTCTCTTACTATACCTCTATTAAACGACACATGTGTGACACATTTACCTCCTGTAAAGGAGACACTCACGACAACTGCTCTCTTCCCTCATCGACAATTCCACTCGTTTCACTTGTTAATAGTATAGATTACTGCATGATGAAAATGGTAATTTGTTTAATTTTGCCTGTCAGGGTTTTATCGCTCATAATATAGTAATATCATTGTAAACTAAACACTGCAGCATTAAAAATGAAAATAGTTGATGAAAGATCAGTTCATATAATTACGTCAAGACTGTGTCAGAATATTAGCACTTGTTACGCTATAAATGTCAAGGATTAAACATATTAGTCTAAATAGCTACAAGTAAGCTCTTTTTGCAACGTTAGAAATAGAAATGGAATCAGCATTGTTCCACTTGGTACTGAGATTACTTCTCTTTTTTTTAGTGAGCGTTACGAACTTTTATACATAGCTAACCTCCATACTGAAGCATACTTTGACTACTGAAACGTGCGTAGCATTTTTGTACTTGTTGCCGAGAGAAGTTTTTAATGTACGGAATTACATTCATGCTTTTATCCTGAGTTTTGTGATCCCTCGGCAGTTTTACTTACAAACAGTCAGGATGTTTGGTTGATAAGGTTATTAGTACGTTAGTTTGTTTCTTCTTATGCTGTTGATTTCATTGCTTACTTCTACAGATTTACCTTAGAGTTCTGATAATATTTTTCCTAAAGATGAGTATATTATCGCAATTCTATTTGAGGTAGCACTATGAAGTTTGTTTATCTATTTATCCATCTATTCATCTATCTATTTATCTATCTATCTATCTATCTATCTATCTATCTATCTATCTATCTATCTCTTGATCTATCTATTTCACTGCCTATCTATCTATCTATCTATCTAATCTATCTAATCTATCAATCTAATCTATTTATTTATTTATTCGTTGTTTAGACATTTTTTGTCTTATCTGTGCATACATCTATGTTTTTGTAAAGAAATGAGTATGATAGATATTCAAAATCACAAACTGAAATAGCGAATGAATAGAAGAATGGTGTCATGTCGAATTGTCGTATGGAATTCAGTAATATACGGAAATCCGAGATTTCATGATACATGTGAAGAGCGAGAAGTGGTGTGTAAGGAAGTAGGAAATGTTCCGTTTTGACTATCAGTTTTAAAGGAGTGTGTTTGTCAAAGCATAAAACCAAATATGATCCATATTTCAAGGAGAAAAAGTGCGAAGTTCTAGGATATGAAATGGTAAAGAAAAGCGGACATTTGTTTGATAAGCAGATAGAAATATTCAGTCAAAGAATAGAGAAAAAATAACAAGAGAAGAGAGCCACACTTTTCTGTTTTTCTGTTTTTCTGCTTCCCTCATCTTTGCAGAGGCTTTTGTTTTGCTGCAAATGGAGATGTTCTTACTTTATAAACGCTGTTATCATTTTCAGTGGTTAGGAAGCTCAAATTCAGGAAGTCGTGGCGATTGCGGAGCAGAAGCGGTTTCGCTGGAAAGCTGCGCAAGCGTTTTGGAAGCATCTCGTTTTGAAAGGTTATAGCTTTTTTTTGCTGAAGCTTACTATCTTATTTTTTGAAAATTTTTATGATTGAATGGAAGTGTTAAGATTATCATATCCATAAACTCAACGCTAAATGTGATATGTGAAAAGATGTGATTCTCATGGGTTTATCTATCGTAATTATTTTTGGTGAAATTCTTTTCTCTTGATGGATTGTAAAGTTTCTCAATCCTGATGTCTTCCTCAAAATTCGCTGCATACTGAAGTTCCAAATTATCTTGCATTCTTCACTGCTTCTTTGTTGAAACTGTTGAACAAAAATCATAATCTGTTCAAAAAAATTCATGCTTTATTCATTCTCATTCTTTCATAACAGTTTTACTTATTATGAAAATTAAAACTTTTGGGGCAATTACTGAATTAATTATTAAAAATAAACTTGATTATATAATGGTTTACTTGTTTTTATGCATTTGCGGTACGATTATTTTTCTCTTTCTCTAATATAGATAATACGATTGATGCACAAAAAATAAATAGATGAATAAATTAATGGTGCAAAAATTGCACTGCAGCTAGATGTCATGTAAATATTAGCCGAATAAATTTAGTTTTTGAAAAAGAGAATTATGAGCAAGGGAGACGAACCATATATGTTTTTATTTACTGCTGTTACGGTTCATTTAAGTAGTCATCATTTGTTTACTTTAAGTTTCGTTACATTTCGAAAATTTGCTCTTGTTATTTTCAAATTCTGAAAAATAATGTATACAAAATTTGTGTACACAGAATGCAAAATTTGCACTTGTATGCTTCTTTTTCATCACGCTCGTGGTTTCATTATGTTTCGATTGCATTTTTTGACCGAATTTTACTTATGGTGTTTTTTAATTTTAATAATTGAATCGCCATCTTAAGTGTAAAACATTGAGACAAGAAATAATATATCTGGAATTTGAATCAAAAATGTGATTTTAAAATGAATCGTGCATACAAATATCTGAATCTGTATTACTTTTTTTGTTGGATAGTACTTTTTCAAAAGTGCTTATCGAATCCTGGAAGTAGTATTTGCAGTCTCTATCCGATGCCAATGGCTTCCACTTCTGCAGCATCCGAATTTTATAACGTTGACATCAACGACACGCGTTTATGTGTTTTGAAGCGTTATCAAAATCTGAAAATTATTGGTTCTGGGGCACAGGGTGTCGTTTGGTAAGAGTATAGTTTTGAAATAGAATCAATTCTTATATAGTAAAGTAAATTTGTAACAGTTTCTAATTACTTTTTTATGGCAAATATTTCATTGAAAGTTTTCACGTATAAAGCTTTGCTTCTATAACGAAATTATAATGGGCTTCACTAATTTGAGGTTTCATGTACACTTCTTTTTTACCATAAAAAGATTGATTTAGTTTTTCGTACAGATTATTAAACAAGATGATATATCATATTGCTTTTTATTAAGTTTTATAATCTCCAGATGGCCCTAAAAACTAAATTCATGATTGTAGTGCTGCTCATGATACACTTCGTGACGAACAAGTTGCCATCAAAAAACTAAGTCGCCCATTTCAAAACGTGACACACGCTAAGCGAGCTTACAGAGAATTCAAATTAATGAATTTGGTTAGCCACAAAAATGTGAGTTTATCATTATTTTATTTTCTTTACATTCAAGTTAAGAATCTAGTTTTTAATGTTGAAATATATCATCAAGATATTCAGTCATAATGCCAAAACTCCTAACCAAACTATTTTGATAGGATTGAATATGAAGGCAGATTATTGGTAGATTCTCGTCCTCTCATAGATTCATGGAGTCAATAGAGTAAATTAACGATGTACTGACAAAAAACAAAATATGTGGTTACCTTAATGAGGGATTTCAGTGAATGAAAACCCAGTAGTTGCGTACAAAAATATCGATAGAAATTATTTTTTAAATCGGTAAAGTATGTGTGTTTATTTATGCTTAGAATGTGTACTGTTTAAGATTTAAATCCGTAGATGAAAAGGAATGAGACACAATTTTCTCGGATTATGTCGTGATTATGTTTGAGAGTAGTTATAAAAAATTACTATTACGAGGAGCGTAAATGTCATTTCAAAAATAACGTGAATAATTTTTTCAGAATTAGTAACAATTTGAATTTTACGAATGAAAACATTTTTTATTTTCACTGTTTTTTTAATTTTTGTAGATTGTATAAAACATATAATTTAAAGTTTTATAATTGTCATTATGTTGCACCGTCTTTTTCCAATCGACCAAAATTGAATTAAACAAACTGAATCACACCACTGAGGAAAGCTTTACTTCTTTTTCGTTCAATACATCACTATAATACTATTTATAGATAATTGGCTTATTGAATGCATTCACACCCCAGAAAACGCTTGACGAATTTTCTGATTTGTACATAGTAATGGAACTTATGGATGCCAATTTATGCCAAGTAATACAAATGGACTTGGATCATGAACGAATGTCTTATTTGTTATATCAGATGTTATGTGGTATCAGACATTTGCATGCTGCGGGTATTATACACCGGGTATATTTTCACTTTATTCCCATCTCTCGTATTTCATTCCAAGATTTAGGCTGAACATTTTTGATAAAAATGGTTTTTGTACTATAAATACAAAATTCGATTATTTACTAAAGCTCTATTTGTATTTTAAATACTTTTTACGCTACTTCATTACATTAACAAAGAGTCATTTAGGATCTCAAACCAAGCAATATTGTTGTTAAAAGTGACTGTAGTTTGAAAATACTGGATTTCGGTTTAGCACGAAGTGCTGGTGACTCATTCATGATGACACCTTATGTCGTTACACGCTATTATCGGGCACCTGAAGTTATTCTTGGAATGGGCTATAAGAGTAATGGTATGTTCTCATTTGATGATTCATGTAAATAGTCATTAGTACTGTATAATGGTGATTAACTAATGTTTCCTACTTAATTCAAAATTTCTGTAGTCGATATCGTAAATCTCATAGAAATATTTTCGTGTTGTTCCAAATATCAAAATTGAGAGCGCTGAGAATATTCCTAGCATCGCTTATTTCCTTCGCATTTGCTTTGATTAAAAGATTGGATTTGAAAATTCGAGTCGTTTTAAGTATTTTCATATTGGTATGAAGTGTGCATAAAATGAAGCATTTGAAAGAGAGAAATAACAGCTTTCTATTTGGACTTAAAGTCAGATTTTTGAGCATAGTGCCGAATGCCGAAGTGTCATTTTATAAACTCTTGAATTGTCATATTTTAAGCGCTCAACTTTGAGGCTTACTCATCTTAATTGACCAGAGTTTGTTCGATAATGATGAAACTTTGACGATTCTTCTGTCCGAAAGAATTATTATAAGTTGCCACATTTGAGCTAATTTGCATGGCTTTTTGATGATATGCTACTATCCAAAATGCTAGTTTGCTGTTTTAATCTGTGCTATATTACTTTGAAACTGTACAGTGAATTTTCGTCGTACATTTATAATTTTATTGCATCTACCACCTTATTTACAAAACTGAAAACTAACTGATGTGACTATTTCCACTTAACGATTTCCAAATGAGTTTCAGTTTTTGAGAAATTTATTTAGGGACAAATCTGGAAGTCAAACTGCTTTTATTTAACATTTATGATTCTTTAATAGTGTTACTTGCTGAAATAGATGATAATAATTTCAAAAGCGCTTACTGGACTATATTTACGCTGCAAAAATTCTGTATTCATACATTATTTTGCATGAATTTTGCTCTTGTGAGAGGAAATGAATGATATGCATCAGAGAAATTGTTCTGTAAATTATCTTTGGAAAATATGTGAAGAATTCATTGAGGCGAGAAATGAGTTCTGCTATGTATCAACTTGATCCGTATACATCGTTGGTATCAACTGTCGCTTCTGTAGAACTAATTGGAGAGGAAACAAGCTTTTGATACGGTAACTTTGGCTAGTAAGGACACTAATAGATAGTTATGAAGAGAAGATAGGATGTTCTTGGTGGACACTGCATGTTTAAATAGAAAAGTTCTAGCACTATTAATATGAACTTATTTGGCTTCTAAGTTTTGTTGGAATGTTGTAAGTTGAAGAATGTGTATTTTTGGCTGAGGTTGTTTTGGCACTGGTTGCAGTTGATGTGTGGTCAACGGGATGTATATTTGGCGAAATGATTCGTGGTAGTGTATTGTTTCCGGGAAGTGATCATATTGATCAGTGGACCAAAATTATTGAGCAGCTTGGTACTCCTTCATCAATGTTCATGCATCGTTTGCACTCAACTGTTCGAAATTATGTGGAAAACCGGCCCCATTTCCTTGGTTTTTCATTCGATATGCTGTTTCCGGATGATTTGTTTCCAGCTAGCAGCAGTTCTGATCCTCGACTTACTGGTATGCTTACTATGATATTGTGTATTTTACATTTTAGTTGATATCTGGTCGATTGGCTGTATTTTTGGTGAGCTCATCCGCGGTCGAGTTCTTTTTCCTGGTACGGATCATATTGATCAGTGGTCGAAAATCGTTGAACAATTGGGCACACCAGGACGAGAATTTATGCAGAAATTACAAGCGACTGTGAGAAGCTATGTGGAGAACCGTCCTAGACATCCCGGTCTTCCATTTGAGATTCTGTTTAGTGATAGCATATTCCCAAAGCCAGCAACCAACAGCGCACTTTGTCGTAAGTTATACAAATACCAAATACTGTTGAGCTATGAAGGAGAGTTGGAGTAAAAAGTGATGGTCTTAGCTGGTTAGTGAAATCGCCAAAAATAGTAGAGTCGCAGGAGGAATAAGAAAGCAATTTGGAAGATAGTTTGCTACTCCCAGATACGTTATAAGAGCCTGTTTTCAAAAAGGCATGAAAGAAGGCTGCTTCTTTAATGCTGGACATCATTTGCACGGTTTTTGTTTCTTTTAGGGCGATCATTTTATTAAGGGCCTTGCTCTTATCAAACACTAATGAGAACTGAGGATAAATTTTATTTCCTGCCACTGCATATTGCAAAGTGAAAACGTCACTTCAGTTTGGGATTTAAAGCCATACGACAACATCGGCTTTTTACTGCAAGAATGGAGTAGTATACATGTTAAAGTTCAAGAAGTCATACTATGATAATTTGATAAAGATGCTAAAACGAAGTATATTTGTTGAGTTGCAAAAAAATTATTTCCAGCAGCTCAGGCGCGTGATTTATTGTCAAAAATGTTAGTAATTGATCCTGAAAAACGGATATCAGTGGATGAAGCACTGAAGCACCCTTATGTTTATGTGTGGTTTGATGAAGCAGAAGTTTATGCACCACCCCCTGAACAGTACAGTCATATTATTGATTCCAGAGATCATACAGTAGAACAGTGGAAAGGTTAGTTGGATACGAACTTAATAAAGGCAATTGCAGAAATTTAAGATGGGAAAAAAATTTTTTTGAAGATTATTGTTGCCCGTCTTCAAGTTTCTGAATGTTAGAGATATTCAGAGAATGAGAAGTTTTTGTTCTATATTTCTTGCTGAATTGAATTTTTACCAATATTTCATTGAGAATTTTTTGGTCATAGTCTACCTACCTACTGCCCATCAATTTCTTAAGAAAGTTCTATCTACCTTTCTTATTTATTTTCAGATTTTTCGCACAAAAAATCTATAATGTTTACTTCAAGCTATAATTTTCAGAGTTGATATTCAAGGAAATCATGCATTACGAAAAAACGCATGATGATTTTGGAATGAAAAAAACCTTAATTGATCCATCAGCAACTGCTGTGTTGTCATCTTCATCACAACAAAGCAGTGAACGCAATGATTCCTCCACAACAGGAGGCACTTTAGTTACAAATGGCTTGTGACATGTGAAGCATGTTACCATGTCGACTACTTAGAATTTATGGTTTTTTGATTTACTTCTTATGCTCTTTATTTCATGTAATATTTTTACCAGTCTTAGCTAGGTTACAAAGGGTCTTTTTGTAGTTTTGGTCTGTTGCTTAAAAAGTGAGAATTTTAGCCAAGAAAGTTGCTCAATACTCACATTCACCACACCGACAAAACATTCCTTCCTTCGCCGTTGTATTTTAAATTATGTTTTAAGATCTGCGGTTACTTTAATTATATGTTATTAAGATATTCACGAAGCCTTAAATACTTTTAGAATTAGATAATAGGGACAAATTTTTGAGGTGGAGTGAAGATTACCCATAGTGCGGTACAGTTTGCTCTACATATTTTAACTGTGTTACCTATTATTCGATTTCAAATTCGTTTTTCTCTATCACTCGTGATCCAAAATCGTATGCAGATAATACAGATATCGCCTATCAAGCGTATATATAGATATTGCGTTATTATTGAAAAGGTATTAATAATTTATTTGCATCAAAAATCCATGTTCCGTGATCAATCTTTCAATGTTTCTGCACTTGAAAATTCGCTTGTTAATTTTGATGTTTGAAATAATATACACTTAGTTATTATGGTCCAGACTGCAAGTACGATTTTTTTTCATATCTCTATACATAGCTCCAAACAATTATTTGAATAGGCTCTACACAAATACCTCAGGTTGCGCATAGATCAAGAGATTGTAATTCGTACTTGTAAGTCTATGTAGATTGATGTCTCATACAATACCTTAAAATTCAAAACAGATATGCTCATTTTTTGTTTTTATTGTGGTAGTTAAACATTGTAGCATTTTATAACTCATTTGTTTTATCATTCATAGTATGGAAAACTTCAGTAGCAGATTAGAATTGATTGAATAAAAATTAAAAGAATTTTTGAATTCGGAAAGATGAGTTGTTAGTAAAATTCAATTAAAACAGTGACGACCAACCATATGACAAAATTAATCAAGGTAATGAGATTGATACGATGTAAAGATAGGAGTAATTTGTTGAATCTGTTTTTTTATTTATATTCTATTTTAGACTTATCAGTCAGTACAGTCCAATTACTCTCACTTAGAATTGACTTTAACTTGTGAAGTATGGAATGAATGATTGCAGTTGATACAGTGGGAAGTTGTTCATGCATTTCAGATGGATCGGAGAAGTGAAGAAAAAGTTTCGAATTCTTAGTCCGGAAGAAATTCACTACAACATATGTATAATGAAGGAAATCTAGATTTAAGTAGTTATGCTTAGAGACTTGACATTTTTTTGAATAAAGCTTTAAGAAGGGATATTTTCATTAAAAGTCAGCGTAGTGAAGCCGTGCTTTTGGACAGTGAAAGAATGCGTTGTAGGATCTGAAGCAGGTGAGGGTGTCTGAAAATGTGTATGGAAAGGGTGCTTAGCAAAAGCAACTTAGCACTCAGTTTAATGGATATTTAATTACGGTCGTCATTGTAGGCAATAATACGCAGTTCATTCATTTCATCTGTAGTGCAAGTGAATGATGATGCACTTTGAAAATGAATCAAGTGGATTATGTGATTGTTTGCATTTGGCTGCACTTATGGTCCATTTTTCAAAAAAAAGACTGTATCTTTGAAAATAATGTTGAATTGCGCATCTTGCAAAGAGATCAGAAATAGTTGACATTTCCAGGGCATTGTTACGGCATCAACTTTGTTAATGCTATTCATCATCACCAGTGCTCCATACTCTTTCCATCAAATAAAAACTGTACGTGAAAATTTTCCTTAGGTAATTTTTGCTCTGATTAAGCTTAGTGAAATGTGAAGTCCAAGTAAAGAGTTATGTCTGTTGCTCTTAATGGAGGTCGTTGCTAGGCATTACATATATCTTTCTAAACTAATCGTTTTATATAGCAAAATCAAAACAATGTCACAGGTAAATACTAATAAAATTAGAAATGATTAGAAGAGTTGATTTTTGCTTCTGAGAAACCTAATAATCATCCTAATAACCTTCATATGATAATCTAATCATCATCCCAACTATTTACCAAGAATTCAAAAAAAACATTATTAATTCCTGCTTTCTACAAAGTTTAAAAATTCAGCCTCATCAGCAATGTGTATGGCAATAGTAACATCACAAAATTGCTTCTATTTTGTCGAGAATATGCCCTCCTTCCGGTACCTATATTGCAAGACAATTTTCATCGTTCCTAAATGAAGTAAAATATTTTTTAAATATATACTCTTGTTTACTTAATAAGCTCTGATTATATTAATTTTTAGCTGTGAAACTCTTATAAATCTTAAGAGAACAGAACTGCAATTTCGCGTCAGTGATTGTGGCACTTTTTTTGAATCTGAAATACTGCTCAGGATATAATGACAGAATACAATAATTTATTTATGGATGCGTAAATGAAATCACCAAAAGTGTGTTATTAGTTTTTCCATCAAAATATACACTATAATTCATATCTCCTCAATTATTTATTCATTTGCTGCAATATTTTTCTGCTTAGATGAAATCATCACTTCGTCAGAAATTTGGGCAACACAACCTTAAAGTATTTATGATAATATAAAAAACGGTATATTTCTGTTCCTGTCATTCATCATCTCCGAGCTTACTTAAATATTAATGACATAATATGTTTTTGACGAAGTCTCTATAACAACTTTAGGCTGAAACTGCCGTGCCTTTTAGCCAAACTTTTTTCTCATTGCTAATTTAGCAGCTAATTTTTTATTGCTTTCAGTTATTTAAAACTTCAAACCGCATATGAAACACCTCCATTGAATCGGTTTCTAAATTTTATCAATCATTATACTTGAAAGAATATTTTCTGACTACATTCATGTTTACAAGTCATTAATAAAAAGATAAAAATAAAAAATTGACATGCTAAAGCATACAAAGATTAAAATTATGAATTCGTGGTAAACACACGCTCAATAATGTGCCTCCTATCGCAATTTGCGTTGAAGTGATAGTTTTATTTGATAAGTTAATTGAATATTAATTTATTCAAGGAATGAAATACTAATAATATTCGGGAGCACATAGAAACAGAAAAACTTTATTCATCTGACTCAGCAAAAGTCGTAATAGCAGGAAAAATGAATGTTTAAAACACACTGCATTCATACATCATGTCATTTTTTGGGGAATTAGAATTTTTTTGAAATATTGGGGAAGGTTTTTACAAAACCAAATCTGAAATAAACTGCTTTCCAAAAACATTCCGACAAGTCAGTTCTCAATTCTAGATGAATACTCGAAATTAAGTTCGATTTTAACGTGAAAGTCAATTGACTGCTTGTTTCTTCAGCTATAGTTTTGTCTTAAAAATATAAGCAAGTGGGATGCATACAGAAATATCAGTCTTCTTATGCAGAATACAAGAAACAGCAATTTGTTTATGCAAATAATCAAGGATTTCAAGTCATGCTCATCTGATATAAATCAAAAGAGATATATGAGACTAGCTATTAAGACCAGTTGATGTTTCAGTAACAGCTGAAATAGCAGAATAAGGAATATTGAATACTGTATATTGAGTGGTTTCTTGAAAACAGTTTAAAATCTCTAAATATCCGTCATATATTAAAGAAAAAAAAAGATTGAATTGCACTCATGAGAACATTGTTATGACATATAATTCGATGTCTCACCTAACCCACTTTTGAAAGACATTTAGAGAAATAAATACTAATCTATCTAGTATGAAAACAACCTCGTCAAGTGCTTATTTATTTAGCAGTCATATACAGGAATACTTATCTAGCAATCAAGACGTCATATTGTAACGATCCGCTCATACTCATACCACAACCATAATCCCAAGAGGTAATGCGCTACGTCAGCAAATGAACGTAACTGCACCATTATCTAAGGAACGCATTCCATTAGCAACAATTTTTCAAAACAGCCAGCCATTCTTCAGTACAAATGACCGCATAGATAATGAGTGCTTGCCGTGATCACCTATGGATACAGTATGTAAAAAATGTATTAAATAGCGATATTCTCACAAAATTCATTGCTCACTGATATATTTTTATTTTCATAGTCAGAAGTGATAATAAATATTCACTGACAACAGACTGACATCATGCAATAACAAAACGATGACAGTGATACGACAAAAAAGCAAATTAGCGTAAATAACTGAATACGCATCAAAAGAAATTTTGTTTATGATAGTGGGTATCTCATCCACTACATTTTGCATGCATAACATACTTCTTAAGCAGTTATAGTGTGAGACTGTAAGATTCACTATTCAGCAGATGTAAAATCGAATAATAATTATATGAAAATAATTAAGCAGAAAATACCAATACTGGTATTTTTAATGGAATGAGTTTACCGCTGCCAGTGGATGATCCTGAAGACTTTTCTTCTGAATATAATGCGCGTCGACCACATTTTTTAAAATTTTGGACAAGTTTTGTAAGTGATAAAAATAAACCAGATCCCAAGCAAACATAAATGCAAAAATGAAAAAATGCTGAGAAACTAATTTTGCTTGACTGCAAAATTAGTTTCTCAGCATTTTTCAATTAATATTTTTAAATTTTCATTTCATGAGTTACAACTTCTTGTTGCGAAGTTGCGCCAGATGTACTAGGTTCCGGTTCCTCTTTCGTGCTTCGAAAGTCATAGAGATCGGTAAAGATTTCTGGCAACCGAATGACATCTTTATGAGCTCGATACCATTCAAGCGTAGCTCGTTGTCTGGAAGCTGAAAAAAAAGTGTGCTAATGAAACTAATTTTGTAACTGTAAAATTCGAAATTGGTATCAACTCAGAACAAACTTTCGTAAACGGAAAACAGCTCTAGCTGTAACATAAAAATGCTCTTAGAAAAAAAAAGTGTTATTACCAATATAGAATCAAGCAGAACTACGATAAATACATATACATTTTCTCCTTACATTATTTGTATCTGGGAGAAAATTAGTTTGATATTCGAACGAGTGTTATTCTTCTACAAAAAATATATAATTTCACTATTTTCACAAAAACTGGAAAAAATATATTCAGTTACTGATATGCCTTCTGTTATCCGCCAACTACAATTTTTCTGATCTACTTATCATAACAAACTGATTTTCTCCCAGATGTTTTCTGCAAACATAGATCTAAAATTGAATAAACGGTAACAAACCAATTGATTGTAACACATCACGCTTCACAAGTAATGAACGGAATAAATCTGGATCCTCTGGTCGTTCAATTGACAATTGTAATTTAAGTGCTTGTATTACCTTCTCACGCAAAATAAGTATCGCCTGAGGTCTTTCTAATTGTGGAACGATATCTAAAAAATACTTGTCATTACATTACACTTTTTAATGTGTCGTACGTTTAAAGCAATCTCAAGTGACAATGGAAAATAAATTATTCATGCTTCGGCTTCTAGCATGTTATTTAAGTAATTTTTAACTCACAAACTTTTTCACTATTATTTTTAATAGCTGGTCTTTGGAAAAACACAACCTGGAATATGTTTCATAATATTTAAATGACTGTAGTATATAATTGGCTAAAGACTTGGATAAGCCATGTTCACACCTGAAGGGATCGTTGGATAACAAAAACAGTGAATTTCTGGAAGAAGATTTTGCTTTAATCAAAAGCAAAGACATACCTTGAGTAAATAAAAGCACGGCACAATACAGCCCAACCAAGCATTCACTGAGACGAAAAGTTTTGAAAGTGCGACTAAGTTCAAACATATCGCTCACCATACTTGATTCAAAAACAATACTAAGTTGCTCCTGAGTGAAAGTTAAACCATGAGCAAATCTTAATGTTTTTGAAACTGAGCTCATGGCACGATATGCCCATATAGTCCATACTTCAAAGAATGAAATTTTGACTAACAACAATTGATCTTTACGCGAAGTATTTGAGAATCCTTAAACAGTTAAAATGAAAATTACAGAAATGAATGCTAGTGATGTTAATCATATCTTTCAGAAAATAATAAAGTCCCAAGCTTTTGAATCCTCAGCAAATTACAAACAATAAAACAAAAAACGGCAAATACACTAATTTCACATAATAAGATTTTTTCACACAGATTTTGTGCTAAAGAATTCATTGAAAAGAATAGACCAGGTATCCGTTTAGTAAACTCAATAAAGCGCCCCAAATCTTCGAACACAGCTTCATTGAACGAATGCCATAACAGATGTCGAAGAACAGACTCTGATCCATTGTTTGGCTGGAAAATTAATGGATTACTTTATAAGAGATTCTTGTTTTTAACGAGTGCTCTGCAGTATTTTGCTGAAAGCTGTTATTTAGAGAAGAAAAAAGCTCTCATAAACGCGGAAGATTCTTGTCCTCCTAACCTCATTTAATGATAAACGATTGTACTGACTAGTTCTACATGTAAGGATAATCTCAGAAATTAAAGTAAGACGTGACAATTGCTCTAATGCAAAGACTAAAGGTTTGAATTTTGAGTTCAATTCATCGATTTGGATATTAGGTCAAGTGCATACCAAGCACTGCAAGTCCTTCGTCAATTTGGTCATTCAGTGTAATGGTTAACTAAACTTTTGAATATTAAATAAAAACTGCCCTTGCTATATTGCTTGTTGTAGCTAACTTACGACTTTCAATACTAGCTTACTCCCGTACTGTCAACTGTAATACCATTCCCCATAAAGAACAAACTTATTAAATATTTTCGGTATATACCACAAAGAGAAAAGCTTGAATTTTATGATAAAACTTCATTGCATTCCTAAAAATAGTAATTTTATTCATGAAGAATAACTTACATGATTCACCATTCGAGGCTTTAACCTTTTCCAATCACTGAAACAGTAACTGCAACAGGCTTCATGTGCTTCTCTTATAGCATTTATGAAAGATTTCAGGTCATCATTTCTATGATCCTCTATTTCAGAACTTTCTGTTTTTGTCGCATCTTTTGCAGTTTGAACACTTTCATTCTTATTTTCGGTTGCTTTACGTTTAGAATTTTTCCCATAGCGAATTGCTGTAAAAATCGCACTTCAAATCAATCAAAGTGAATTTTTTGCTTCCAGCAATCTATTTAGAATAACATTTTAAATGCAAATTATAACTTTCACTTACACAAAGCAGCATCATTATTTTCATTGAAATACATGGCAACATGCTTGATATTAAAAATTTGGTCTGCTGTTGTTATTGATTCGACTTAATAAATGCAAAGAATAAAAAAATATACATTTACGAGACATCCCAGCAGCAATACATGATTTAAACCGACAGTACTGACATCGATTTCTGCTTGTACGCAAAACATTACAGTTTCCATCTCGTAGACATCGATATTCCATTTGCTTTTGAATACTGCGTCTGAAAAATCCCTGAAAAAACGACAAACAGATTATAAATCAAAAAGTATTTGGAGAAAGCTTTTAAAACGTTAGCTCTCACATGATAAATGCTTGTATATTCCAATTTCATTATAATTTAGTGGGAAAGCTATTACCTTACATCCTTCACAAGCCGTAACACCATAATGAAATCCACTTGATTTATCGCCACATACTTTGCAAGTTGCTTGTTTACTTCCTGCATTGCTACCGTCAGATTCTTCAAACAAAGAATTGAAAATTTTAAAGTTTGTGTACGTGCAGCTAGATAATTTAGATAGAAAATCAAGGTTTTCAAAACAAAAAGAACGTTCCTTTTTTCACGATTTAAAAAAATTAAATAAAAAATCTTATACTGTTACTAACAGCAGTGGAAATATGAATAGTGATGGTAAGAGTCAAAATTCTGCATGTTATCTAGCTGCTTAGTTTACTGTACTAATAATTAAGACACGGCAGAGTTGATTATGCTTCAAATTCGAGAAAGCACTTTCTGATTTAGTGACACTAAAATCAACTTCTCGTACCACAAATCTTCATTTACTGAGCATAACTGCATCAAAATAGGAATAAAAAAACAGTGAAAAGAGAAAGGCCTTTAGTCTAAGAGTATATATATATATATATATAT